ATACAGTGTTTCCATCGTTCTTGCCATATACAAAAGCACCTCTGAAGTCATTTTCGGAAATACTCTATAGCTGCTTCGTATCATTGTGTTTTATTTTATTCATACTTTGAAAATGATAGTTTTTTAATATCTTTCCAACAGCTTGAATAATTACCCCGATACTTATTTTTCACGTGTCTCGTAAACGGAGAAAAATATAAATCACATATAGTATTCTTTTGTTATACATATAGTCTTCATTGTTGGTCTGTATTTTAGTAGAACACTCATAAATGGTAATTTAAAAAATTAAGTTATATTTCATATTGTTTGATTAGACCTTGTATACACATAGAAATTATATGCAACACGATTATTAAAAAAATTAAATTACTTTATAAATTAAATTGTAATTCAAAAATAAGTTGTTATTCATACGCTTAGTTTAGAAGTTTCAATTCAAATTTAGCCGTTATGTTAATTCGACCGTTTAAATGTTTTGTAATATTTTATGTTTTTCTTTAAAAAAAAAAAAAAGCAATCAAAACGTCCGGCCACCTGAAAGTCGGTGTTTTTACAATTTCCGATGAATCGACACGCGAGGTTTCGTAAAACAAAAGTTAAAATACGGGTACTCGTGTACTTACATCGCACGAAAATACATTGTTGCCGTGTAAAAATCGACAGCTCTTTACTCCTGTTTACCGCGGGTGCGGTGGAGACTGAAAAAAAATCGTGAACCGCCGATGGCAGCAGGATGGCGCGCGCGAACCATACACCGGATACAACGGATACGCGTATTATAATATACCTACAAAGACAAAAATAATAATAATAATAATAATAATAATAATAGTAATAATAATTGTCCCTGTGGACGAATAACGATGGATACATATATAATATATTGTTAACCGAACGTTACACAAATGACGTGCCAGACAAAAGCGTTTCGCACTTGTCGTCGTCAGTGGGAAGGGCAGCACAATGGGCCGCCGTCTAATGTCGTGAGCGTATTTTTTCATTCATTTATTTATTTATTTATTTATTATTATTATTATTATTATTATTTTTTTTTTATCGGTCGATAGACATAAAGCCGCGAGTGTAACACAAAATTGTTCCATCCGCCCGCGGCAGTTGCGGTGGGCGACCATGTCACCGGCGTCAGTTAACAGCGCGCGCGCGCCGCTTTGCGTCCTCTGACCACCGCCGCCTCAATAGTCACCGCGTGTTTCGACGATCACGACGACGACGACGACGACGACATCGCCGCATCCTGCCGCGGTCCACTCGGCGACAATGACTCCATGGCCGACCACCGCGACTGACGAACGGCCGATCGGCCGCTGCTGCCGCCGCCGCTTCTGCTGCTGCTGCTGCTGTTGCTGCTGCTCCTCCTCCGCCTCCGCCTCCTCCTCCTCCTCTTACTCCTCCTCATCATCATCCTCCTCCGACTGCACAGCCTGCTAAAAACCCACCGCGGTAAATAATTACTCGGCGCCGTGTTGTTCCGCCCGCCTGCCCCTCTGAGACCGGTGCACGGTGTGACTTCGCGTCCGACACCACTCGCGATGACGACGTCCATGCGACGTGAGCTCGATAACGAGCCTGCCGCCCTGGTGGCCGTCGACGCCGCACTGTCCACGGCAGTTATCACGCCCGTAGTGGTCACGTACTGGAGGATCACGTGGAAGCTGATGGACGTATACATACTACCCGGGAACCAGGCGTGGAGCACCGCAGTGTCCCTGGGCATCGGGTTCATTGGCCTGTTCATGTTCACGTTGTTCCAGCACCGGTTCAAGCGGTACCTGAAGCCCAGGAAGCACACGGCCATGTATTACGTGATGTCCAGAAGTTACACGGCCGCGTTCGCGTACTCTTGCATCAACTCGTGGCGCGGCATATGGTACACTATGGACATGGTGACGGGCACCCGGTCGCCCATGACCGCCGTATCCTTAGTGCTGGGCATGTGCAGCATGGCCTCCATGAAGACCCTGCGCAACATAATCGCTCCCCCAATAGCCATACTAACCGACAACTACGACGGATACTTTGAGGTGCCCACGCTGTTCCGCATCGGAGTTCGAGTGAGATTTGCCTGCCCGATACAAATTTGTACATCATAACCGAGTCACTTTTTTTCGTTTTCAACACACTTTGTCCGCTACGATATAGAGTACCAACTGCGGCGCAACCCCTTTACTCGTGGTTCTTATATTTTATAACCGTGTACATTTGTTACTGTCGTATTTTTTTTCTCGGCTGAGAGTAAAACAATACCTTGATAAGTTTCCATGAAAACTTTTAAAAAGTTTTTAATCGTGCAAATCTTGTAAACACATGATGGCCCTAAAAGTTCGTCGGTGTTTTATAAAACGACTTTTTAATTTTTGAACCGGTACAACGTTTAAAATTAAGCGACTTTTAGGAGTATGTAAAACAAATTGCATATCGTTTATTTAATCGCACATTTTTTTCAAACAAATATAGATACTTTAATGTTTCACAATTTTGGCGAATGAATTGGAATCAAAGAATTAATTAATTTCAAAATAACGATTTAATAAATACTTATTTTAGACTGAATAATCAAAAGAGTGCTCTTAAAGTTTAAAAGCTAAATTGAAGGTAGACCAATCTATTTAGTTCATTGATAGGTCTACTTAATAATTTAACAAGTCTCAGGGCTTTTTTTAAATTTTATTTTTACTCGTTTAAAATTATGTAATGTTTATTTGGTCAAAAGCTTAGGAAATAGTTGTATGTCTAAATATTAGAAGTAGTATAATGAAAATATATTATATAACATAATAAAGATACTAAAATTTTGAAATTCCTAGAATAATTTTATGAAATTTAGTAGTTTATAAACATTTTATAAAATTAAATTATACTGTAACCTATATTCTATACCATGTGTATTATACCATACATAGACTACTTAAATTTGATTATAAAATATTTGTATAATTGTGTTCAATGTATAAACGTGATTAAATTTTCGTTTAAATTATCTAAAATATAATTTAATATAAAAGCAAAACACAAATTGTATATACGAGCCTATAGTTTATGAGATGACAATATAGCTGATTTTAAAATAATGTATTTAAGTTTTGGTTAGGTTAAATTCCAAATGGTCGTTATCTACATTTTTCTAATGAATCTAAGACAAAACGTCTTAATTTTATTAAGGCTAATGATTTTGAAATGTATCTCTAATCAAAAATTAAAGCTGGCTAAGATTATTTTTCAAATAACAAATTTTTTAAATCTAAATTCATTACTATTGAAATATTTTCTTATTTTTGTCTTAAAGTATTTAATTAAATTTATAACTATACTGGATTCCAAAAGCAATTCGATAAATTGTAAATAAAATTCAGTTTAAAATTTAAGTAAGTCGAATTTAATTTATTTTTTTTTTTTTTTTTTTTGTAATTCAACGCTATGATATTATAATGTAAATAATTTGTTGAAAAAATATAAATAATATTTATAGATACTTATTGGCTATTACATTACAGTATTATACACATTATATCATATCAATCTTAATAATTATTTTTTTTACTTAAATTATATTATTTCAATATTAATATTTTTTGATTTATTGAAATATTTAAAAAAAAAATTGCATTCACAAGTATTTAAAACTGTCAAGGGCCACTATCATGTTTATAAAACAAACATATATTTTTACTTCAACATAAAATGACTAAATATAATATATGATTAAATAAAATAACTCAAGGGTCATAACTAATAATAAATATAATATATTATTAATTTAAAAATGTATACCATTTAACGATTAAACTATATGTAAAAAAATAATTGCTGCGAAGTATTTAAAGGTCGTTGGGTTCATAATACGACATTCATAAGAGTGTATGAATCCCTCATTCTATTAAAAGTCTTTATTGTATGTTAGTTAGGTATGTATTAGTATATAGATCCCATCATTTATCATTCGTTTGCGGAAAGCGAAATTATTTATCTTGATCCAGTTCAAAACCGATTCCATGGTGTCATTGTCGTCTTAAAAAACACTAATGGTCTTACTATAATAATTTAAACATGGTTAACAATCATAGATTATTAAGGCCAACTAAGTTAAAACTCGTAGTTTTTTTTTTTTTTAACAAATGTTCCAACCTGAATATTTTACATTTCTATTACTCAATATATAAATTTTTAAATACAGTCCTAATTGTCTTAGTAATCGGGCTACGTGATAATCTGATTCGTCCAGTAATCCAGTCACATTTTATTTTCATTAATAATGACTAAAGGTAGCGATTAAATCGATAAATACAATCAACAATATCCCAATAAAACTATAAAATATTTTATTTAAAAAAGTTGTAAGACAAAACTTCTAGTAATTTATCCAGCAATATATAAAAAAAAAAAAGTATAATTTTTAGTTTATATAAAACATTTAATTTTATAAAAAAATAATAATTGGTATATAATATATCTAAAGATTTATAGTTTTTATTAATAGATTCTAATAATCCCATACTATACATATCGGATAACCATGACCCTACTATAGTAAATTATAGGTAACTTTCAAGTTACTGTATGTCATTAATTAATACGTATTTTGATTTTCGAAGAAATTTTTTTAAACCACCTAGATAAATGAACTAAATTTAAAAAAAAGTTTTTTGCTTTTACTAAATACCTAAAATATGCAATATTCATGCTGAAAAATTAACTATTTTAATAAAGCAAAAAAAAAAAAAATGGCAATACATAACAACAATTTAAACAGAATAGTATATCGTAATTTTTTTCCTAGTTAAAGTTTAAAAAAATCTGATTAAAACAGTATTTATTAACTCATAAAAGTCCACTTGATTAATTTTAACTGAAATTTGTAGGTAGAAATGGTAGAATATTAAATATAGTCATATATTTGACGTATTTTCACTCGCTTATATGTATAATAAAATAAATACTTATTTATTTTTTACTATTATGTATATTATTTTATATTATAGGATGGTACTGGATCATGGCTATATGTATTAGATAGCTTTTTCAGCGTTTGTATTATCGGTTCATTGGTAGTCATCGTTTGGCGAGGTGTTTGGAGTCTAATGGATGAGTATTTATATCCAGGAGATGAAAACACATCTGCAATTTTATCATTGGTAATGTATAAATAATAATATTTATTTTATAAAAGAAAAGATTTATAAAATTATTCAACGAAATTGTGTAAAGCTAATATAAATTTGTTATAAAAATGTATTCATATAATTTAGAACTTTCGAAATTAGTCTAGTACTGTTAGAGAACCTATACATTATTTTTATAATCTTCTAAATTGATTTTCAACTATAAAATATTAAAAATGGCCGTATTTAAATAAAAACAATACAAGTAAATTTGATGGTTTATGGACAAGTTATGTCACCACTCAACTATTTGTGTTTTTTTTATAATTTTTTAGATAAATGTTTTTATTTTATTAAAAAAATAAGAGAAAAAATATAAAAAAAACAATAGAAACCAATAAAATAAAGTAATAGAACGATTATTTATATCAGTGATACCTAATTGAGTATAATCTATTTTTTTAACGACCGATTGTGCGCCGGAAAAATGTTTTTGTTTTGTACAACACAATTTTTTGGCAGTCCGTTACAGCTCTAAGTCCAACCATATACGCGTCTTATGAAATACTGGTACCTATATTACGAGTATTAACACGTATCATACGTATTCGTCGTTTATTGATGAATAACATAATTTGTTATCTACACGTATTATTATGTTGTGCTCCTGTGATTTTCGATATAAGCTATAATATGTTATCCAACGTTGAATCGGATATTTTCATTATTAATCCTAGAGTAACTTAAATATAACTATCAGTCGTCGCACCGTATATATCATGTATTTATGAAATTGTATTGTTTTATAATACATATAAAAACTTACAATATATTTTAATTTAATTTTTTTTTTTCAAAAATATTCTTTTAAACTTAATATAATTTATATTGATAAATAAATACTGCAAAACTACACATATTTCTTTGTTCAGTATCGTTTTTTTTGGATTCCTACTATTTGATTACATCTGGCTCAATTGGGCTACAGTAAATTTACATAATACACATCATTTATTGTATGTATTGCTAATTAAGTTAAGTTAAGCCCACCCATGTAAAACATTTTTTTGCAATAATCGAAAATATAATTTGAAGAACGCAAGGAACTTAAATTGTTAAATGCCTGTAGAAAACAATATTTACTTAATGAAAAAATTACAATAATTTATTTTAACGTTTGTTAATTGGTCTTTTCCGTATTCTGATTGACTGTAATCGTAGTTTGTGTTTTATTAAATGTTTTCGAACCACACACGTTTATCATTCATCTTAACGTTGCTATATTACAGCCAGTCAGTTTAAAAATGAATAGAATAATATTATGTAGTATTGTACTGTTATGTAGTATTAACCCATTCAACAATAAATTATTCTATGATAAGTTTCTAACAACCATTGCCCTATCAAACGTATTTACGTATTACACATTAACACGAATTCAATTTTTCTATTTCATAGAAATTAGTTTTTATTTAAATACAGTGGAACCTTGACAAGACAAACCTCAAAAATCGAAAACCTTAATAAATCAAAATAAATTGCGTTCCCTAGTGAAAACATCAATGACTCAAAAAAAAAAAAACTATAAATAACTCGAATATTTCGCGTTTTGAATATAAACGATTAATTATTGTTTGTTTTCATAATTATATTTTAATTTTATCTGCCAGTACCCTTATATCATCCAGTATTATTTATTAGTATCGGCGATTCTATTCTAAAAGATAAAGTAGAAAAATTTGCAAAATCATTAGGCCCCGGAAAATTTAAAGCCAGTAACAGTTGACTTGAAAATTTAAAAATACAGTACAAAGAATTATTTGAGCCAGTACCTCAGATTTCAATAAAACAAGTAAAAGCTGCTCTTACATTGCTAAGGACATTTATCGAACATTCTAGTGATGTAGATAATAAAGTATATTCTGATTTAAATATGGTTGAAAATATTATTGACAATATTATGTGCAAGAATCTAACTCAAAGTAATATCTTAAATTATTTTTTGTAAAATTGTAGTAAAAATTTAAAAACTTCAATTAACTCTTTAAGTTATTTTTTTCTGAAACCTTGATAACTCAAAAACTTTAGTAAATCAAAAACCTCGATACGTCGAAAAAATTGCATTTTCTTTGAATTTCGACTTATCAAGGATTCACTGTTTAAGTAGGTATGTGCTCTGGTCTACTTGATCGGATATTTTTTATATAATAACAATAGTAACTGAGATTAAATCAAAACTAAAGTATATATGATTCATTAATTAAATAGGTACATTAAGTAATTAAATAATTCTGTAGATAAAATAATTAATCATTTTTTAGAAAATATTACATCATGATTCATTATCTTTAACCTTTGTATGGTTTACTCGAATGACAGTGGTGTATCAGAAAAACATTAAGGAAGTTTAATTAAAAAACACTACTATTAAAACTATATTATAATAACTATTATATTAATATAAATTAAAATAATGTCAATAATATTTACTGTCCTAAAAATTAATTTATAAAATATTAAAATAAACCAATATATTTTTTAAGAGTTAAAATATTGAATATTAATATTTTTTTCATTACATAATCTAATATCTACAGTTATAAAAAAAAAAAAAAATGGCAATCAGCGTTTGTAATGTTATATAAAGACTCATAGTAACTATCGTGATTCTTAGATATAATTAAAGATCGTAAAAAATTCACTGAATGAAAAATTCTTCCATTGTAGGAACTTTGTCATAAGTAATTATTATTTATTAACATATTAATTTATTATTATTACCTATATAATACATACAATGATACTTTGCTACTAAACTTTATTTTGATTCTCACGCAAGTATATGTTTTAATATGTATTGAATTTATATTGTTTACTAAAAGTATATATTGAAGCTTTTAAAAATCTAAGAAACAAACCTAATCTGAGCCAAATCAATACAAACAAAATGTATTTCATTCTCTTTTCTTTAGGTATATTTTCGTACATCTTTTTTTTATAGAACTTATAGGCAAAATACTATTTTAATAATTACAGTAAACCGTACTCAGAGGCGTGATCAGCAATTGGCTATGGGTGGAATTTTCTTTTAGACTGTATTTAAAATATAGTAAAAAATTCATAAATACATACATTTTTATGGTTACACATGTATGGATATGTTAAATTTGAATTTGATGATAAATTTGTTGTATATGAAAAAATGATTCTGAATAATAATGCTGACAATATAAACTTAAAATTCTTAATAAAAAAAATTACTACCTATGCATTTTTATTTTTGAAAATAGCTGCAGGAATAATTTGAGTGATCTTGTATTAAATCGTCTAAATTTTTTACCGATAAAACAAAATGTTATACATTTTTTTAAACTTACACTGTAAAATTATCGTTGGTGCATTCTTAACTCCAGTCAAAACTTGATAAACAATTTTTTTTCTTTATAACCAGGTATATATAATAATATTAATTTAAAACCTTACTAAAATAAACATACTGCCGTACTAATGTACTATTTCATATATTTATTTAAAATTCTTAAAATTACTTTGTGATTTATCTTTAATTAAATGTATTAATTACAAAATTATTGAGTTGTTGATAAAAATTGTTAAAAGTTGTATATATTACTTTAATTGAAGTCTGTTCATAATTTTAATAATTATATTATTTATATTCGTAGGTTATAGGATATAGTGTAGTACTACTTGCTTTTGCATTACAACCAGCTGTAAAAAAATTGGTTAACAAAATTAATGGCTTGAAACGAATACTTGCTGTGGATGTATACTTAATGTTTTCATTTTTTGGTGCTGTAAACGTATGGAGAGGAGTATGGGTTATGCTGGATAATCACTTTATACCAGGTTAGATATTTAAAGAACATACTATTATAGTTTATATAATTTATGTATAAATAAGTTTATTATTATGAAATTGTATAAATTTAACATTTAAATACATTTAGAAGAAATCAGAACAAAAAGTTATCCACCTTTTCAATGAACTAAAAACTATAATTAATGTTGTCTCATTATTGTAAGCGTATATAATTCAAAATTTAAAATTTTTTTTAAATTAAGTTATTATGTTATAAATATAAAATACAGTTATAAAATTGAAATTACAAGTAAAATAAAAATTGATTTTACATTCTAGAAGCAAAAAAAATACTATTTTTACGTACAAATTAATTTATAATTTTTTTTTTAATTTTTAATATTATTATAAGGTATTACAATATTTTTTTTTAAAGTCCGACAAATAAAATTTAATTATTAACCAGGGACATTGTTCTATTGTATCGTACATTTTTATGGATAGTATATTATTATTTATTAGTTAAACAATACATTATAATTTACATTACTAATAATAACTTACAACTCAATGCCAACGTAAATATGTTAATAATGGTTTAAGTAGGCGTGTAGTAAAATAGCTTAAAATGTATATGAAATCTTAATGTTTTGAAAATTTCCTGGAGTATAAAATATAATGACATAAGTTAATAGTATAAAATATTCAAACCTCTACGTCCTACGATAAATATTTTTTGAATTACATTAAAATCAATTAAAATCGTAGGATTAAAAAATGATTATGTTTTCGCTTTAATAACCTGTTTCATCAAAACTTGTAATTCCAGTCTGTAAAAAAATTTTGCAAATGTATTTTTCATTACCATAGATATGATAAATGAGGAACCATGATTTAAATGTTCAAGAAATTTTAATAATAAATACAAATATTATCTACATAAATAAAAAAAAATACCCAGTACATTTTAATAATCTATAAATATTTCACAAAGAAACAAAACATTTCGAAAATTAATGTCAAGAGAATAGTATTATAAATATTTGATGATACAATTTAAAAAATCTACAGTAATTCATTTTTAAATTCCAAAAATAAAATCAGTTTGGTCAAAAACTTATGTTACGGTAAAATATTTGTTTTGTTAGCTTATCATTAAATATTGATAAATTTGAATGCATATGTCTTTCAACCACACGATAGACTTCATTTATAGATTTATGATATGTCCCTTACTACGTTTTATTCAAGAGGTATGTATATAATCTTTATCTCAACCTTATCATTCCGTTCACGCAAAGTATTTCCTTTAGCAAGTAATACAACGCATACGCTTAAATTACTACTGACATGACATGTTTTATTCAACTTTGAATACGTCTTTGATCTATCTAAGAGAATCGAGTAGCATCCTGATTACATTATATATTTGATAGTATTAGATACAAGTTTGAGTGAATAGGAATGAATATAAACAATTGGCTCAAGTAAAAGGGACATTAAATGATATTTATAAAGATTAAGAGTAAGTCCAACCCGAAGAACCCAGTTACAGATAGATTTAAGATTTATCTTCAGACGAATACAGTTATTAGAAAAGATGATTTTTGTTTAGAATTTAATATCGTCAGCAAATAAAATAACTTTGGAATAGAAAAGATAGCTATTGAGAAAATTGATTAAGATAAAGAGGTGCCCCCGTCTTGAAAAACACTAAACGAAAGGCGAGGAGATTGAAAATAACGCACCTTGAATGATTACAAAATGTTTTCATATGTGAAATAGGAAAAATTACAATTAAATGGCTTTTCTAAAAATAGTGTCTACTTGATATCTGTCTTTCAAACTCTTCAAAATCTTAATGTTAAAAAAGGCACTTATAGAAAAAATCATTAAAATTTTCATTTCAATATCTAAGCCTTCAGAATTTATGAAAGACTCATAAGTTTTTCTCAATGAAATTAAAAAAAAAGTTTAGTGTAATTCCAAAATAAATTTTCATTAGTATAATTTATAATTTAACTTAAATTTAACACATTAATTACAGTGACCTACTCAAGACGAAGTACACACTCGAAATCTAGATTTAGTATTAATAGTATCCGCCTAATACCTATACTATACATAAAAGCAACTTACCTAATTTTTAGGATTAGAAAATTACAAAAACTATACGTAATATGCTACACCTATATCTACTGTCTCTGTTTCTACACATAAGATAGGAAATTACATTCATTAAAAACAGTTTATTTTGATTTGTTTTTATTGCTAGTAAGAATTTACCTGATAATCATATTTAAAACTAAAAACATTACCTGTGTACTCTATATCTATTTTTAACGCGTTAATTTTAAATAAAAGTATAAGAAGTTGTAAGTTTAATATTTTAAATATTTTTATTAATAAGTATAAGTTATTACTAAATAATAAATTATTAATATTAAATTAAAATATAGAAACCACCACCTGAGAACACAATTTGTATTCTAAAATTTAAATTTGATGATAATTAAATACTTCATAATGTAATTTCTTTTTAAAATATTCAAAAAAAAAAAAATTATTTAGATATATGCTGCTTTAAACCACAGTTTCTTCTGATTTCTTAATTAAAACTAATCACTGATCACACCATACACTTTTATAAACAGATTAATAACTTCTAAAATGATATAATCATTTATACATATTGTTTTATTTTATAAAAACCTGTAATTAACTTTTTAGATGCTCCTATTACCAGTTATTGGGTATCGCATATTGCATGTTTCGGCTTCCTAGTCTTATTGAACTCCTCCAACTCCATATTAGTCCGTGGTGTTTACATAGACGCTGAAGAAGACGGTACACAATGTGTTGATTTTCCATGTTATTATGTACGGCTCTTAGTACAGGTAAGAGACATAATAATGATATTAATTTATTTATTACATTATAATATAGTTAGGTATTATTTATTTATTTTTTACTAATAACAATCTACCAATGTATGCTATATAAATATATAATACATTAACATAATTCATAATTCCCACCCACAAGCTACCTATTTATACATGTATAAATTACCACAATAAACACATTAATATATAACAATGGGCCCCATGTCCTAATTGCATATGTTTGTGTGGAGGCCCAAAATTTTACAACTTGTAATTAAATTTCTGTTAAGTATGATTTGTGTAAAAAATTATTTAATAATAGTCAGAAATTTTTTTTTTTAATTAATTAAATATAATAGATATAATTATCTAAGATCAGTCAAATAATATAATGTTAAGCTAATACAGCTGAAATTATTAACAATAAAGAAAATAATTATAACTTAAATATTTAATTTACAAGTAACAGTATAAGTACTGCTATAAATTCGTTATAATTGTTCATCTATATTTTGATTTTATTAGTAAAAGTTTAATCAAGTTTTAATTTTTCTGTCTGTCATCGCCTTTAGGGCCAGTAAAAATACTCTAATTTTCAACTTTGTGAATGTTTTATAGCCGCAAATAACTTTTTAGTTTAAAAGTAAAAAATGCACAGTATATTTCCAATTAACCGAGAAAAACAAATAAAAATTAAAGAAAAATTGAAATGTTTGCAAAACCACTATACAACAATTGATTTTATTTCTTTGTTGTAATTAAAAAACAAATAACCTTGTTGGTACTTACAATTTTTGACAACATTCTATGCTAGTATTTCCTACACATTAAACAATTTTCTAAATATTTTGACTCTTTTCGAGCTATTTATGGACATTTGGATTTTTCAATGTTTTTTTTTTGTAAATGTCCATATAAAATTATTCACCGAGTCAAAATTCTTAAAAATAAACGTTATTTCACATAATATGTAATTCATAGATTTTTATATAAACATTAAATATATAGAGGCGCAAATTTGTTATATATATTCAAATATTAAATTTTAACAAAATGATATAGTTAGTGATTAAGCTAACTAATAGTCAGTTTAAATAATATACATCATATTTTACTGATAAACAACTAATTATTTTTAGTTCTAATATATCGATTGTATTTTTAGAAGCATACAATATTTTTCTTAATTTCTATTTTTAAAAGTTGTCATTCCATTTTGACAACGTGCAACGCCAAGTTTCTTTATTAAAATATTTATGGAATTTAACTATTTTCACGAAAATTTAGTATTTACATATAATTCTGAGAAGAGAAATGAATGTAATGATTATAAAATGATATGTTTGTTTTTTTGCGTGTATGCACAATAAGTAGTCGATAAAAAGGTCAATTTTCAATTTTGATGGTAATTTTGGATAATAAATTGGATTTAATTTATACTTTAGAAAGATCAAAATTAAAAATTCTCAGGGTTTTTTTTTAACCAGGAAAAACAAAAAGAAATATTAAGGGAAAACAAATTAAGTTAAACAAATCTAATTTTCAACAAAATCAATTTTGTTCTTAAATGTAACTCAAAAACTAATAACCATACATACTTGAATATTCCTTCTCTGCTGTCGGTTTAAAACGGAAAAAAAAAGAAAAAAAAGATACTTGAATATTTTATCAAATTTTCAAAACTTCGTCTTTTATTATGCTATTTATAGGAACGACAAATTTTAGAATTTTTTTTTCCGTTATTTTTCTCTCAGTTAAAAATATTCTTGAGTAAAAAAAATTAACACAAAAACTATAAAGTTAATTTTTTAATTAAAATACATTTAAAATTTAGTTACAATATTCTTTTATAAGCGTTTAAAATTAAAATGTTGACAAAATCTAAACTAGTACAAATTATTTTGTAGTTAGAAATTCATAAAATATTTTTTTTTATACTTAAAATATAAAAATTTCATTCACGATTCTTTATAATTTTTCAACCTATAAAAACAAAAAAAAATTCGAGCAAAAAGCCAAATTAATTTTTAATGAACATTTGAAATTTACATATTTGCAACATTGAATATTCACTTGTAAAATAATTATTTCTCCAGTTTTTGATATTTTTTCATACTTCAAAAAAAAAAATTAACAATAGATACTTGAAATTTTCACCAAATATTGATATTATCATTTTAATTATACGATAAAATGTAAACAATTTTTAACTTTTCTTAAGCTATTTATAAACATAACAAATTTTTATTTTTATTTAGTTTTTTTTTCTATAAATGTGGATAATAAATTACTCGCTATATTACAACTTAAAAGAAAAATTTCTCAATAGTTGTTCTAATAAGTATCTTTAAAAAAATATTAAACATGTAAGTATCTGAAGTTCTGAAGAAATTTTTTAAAACAAATGATTGCAAACTATTTTGTAATTAGAAATTTATAAACACTTATATATTTTATATCTAATTTTTGAAAATCTAATTCAAGATTCATAGTAGATAATACTAAAACAATAAAATCTAAAATATTTATAATGACAATTACTTTTTCATATATTTTAAGTTAAAATTTTTATGAATTTACCTATTTAAAGGGTACATAACAATTTTGATTATTTTACTATAATTTAAACCATTATTTTTAGAAACGTATGTATTTCATATTATGAATTTTACTAAACGAAATAACATTTTTGATTTAGTTTAAAATAATATCCGTTTATATTATGAATCTAATTCTACTGTTTTACAATATTTACAAAAATATGTTATTAAATTTCAAGTCATATAAGTTGATATAACATAGTATAAATATATATTAACACTAATAACATAAAAAAAATACAATGTTTTCAAAAAGTTTATATTAACCTACTAAAATACCAAAAGTAAAATAAATGATTTTAATACCTTATCAAAAATATATCATAAAATTTACTTAGAGTCTCTAAGCTAAAAATATGTATATACTATCTGACACTCCGTCTTAGCTCTAAATCGTTTTTCGTATGCAATAATTTTATCATTGAAATTTAAATTCAAATTTAACACACTATTGAACAGTGTCCTACTCGACACCTAATCTGATTGCCTACTGTATTTTGTTTTAAGACACTGAAAAATAATAATTATAATGTATTCATAATTATTAACAATTATAAAATTTTATAAATTTATTGTTACAAATTCTTAATTTACTTATTCATTATACACGTAAAGACAATTTACATTTTTCTTGTTCCATTCAAAATGTATTGGATAATATTATTTTAAAAAATTATTTTTTTTCTTTACGTATTTCTTAATCTATTTATTTATATTTATTCCTTTTTTTCAGAAGAGAAAACGGAAAAAACAAATACGCATTGATGAAGAAGGTAAAGAAATGACGCAAATAAAAATTGAAAAAGAAGAAGAAACTGAGGAAATAAATGAGAAAATGTTACTTACAAGTGAAAATGATGATAAAACCACATCGAATAAAACTGAAGAAACATTAAACAACAGAAGTAAAATCGTTTGACATAACAATAACCAACATTAAGGTTTGTACTTTTGGATCTTAGAAGATATTGTTTTCAAAACAAACCGAATTCTTTGTGTTCGTTCAAATTAAATGATTTTTTTATATTGAAACAATAATTATTATTTATAATCATGTACATATATTTAGCTCGTTTAATTTTTATTGTTTTTCATTTTTAGTTATGAAAAGTCATACATTATTTAGTAATCGTATAAACCAATGTGTTAATATTATATTTTGTAAATAGTACAATTCAAATATTATATTCGTAGTTGATAATATAATAAAATGTATTGAATTCACAGATATTCTTATAGTTTGTTAAATGTGTACCCTTCTTATTATTATTATTTTAATTCCAATGTTCATAGATAAATTAAAATTTTATTTTAGATTTAAGATTATAAATTATCAAGTAATTCAACTAATTTACTTGAAAATACTTATTTAAAAGTTTTTGTATTTAATTATAATATATTATACAAAAATGCGTTATTATGTACGCAATTGTATAAATATTTTATTTTAATTTTTATTATTATTTTAATTATTCTTTTTATATATTACTATACTTGAATAAAACACAAAAAAATATCTAATAATATACGTTTAAATATTTATTTTTTAAGCTAAATATTTTATTTTTTATTTAGACTGTTCCACAATTTACCTGAATAGTTAGAAATTAGTAGTCATAATGATTCGCAATTTTAATAAATTAGATAATAAGGTTTGTGTAGTTAAAAAGTTAAAAGAAGAATAAAATAGAAAGGATATAAGTGTTATAAGGAGGAAAAATTTGTTGAACATTAAAGAGAACATCAATAAAGGAATTTAAAAAAAGAACAAAAAGTGTATGTGTTAAAGGGCGAATGTAAGTTCCCACACGAGATATGGTAGGTAAAAATTACCCCTGGGTATGCATACGTAAGTTCTCACACGAAATACATTACACCTTTACGTAAGTTTCCACAAAAAATTATACTGAACACAAACTTCCTTCCTATTTTATTCAGACTTAGGACTGACACTTAAACGTAGTTGGTGTGGTTAAAATTTGTTTTGTTTTTGTATTGCATAATAAAAAATCCAATTTAGTTTTTAATTGAATCCAGTCCGTATAATATATAATAAAAATTAATAATATAATGTTTAGGTATGGTCCACATATTATTTGTATAAGTATGAAATAATAATAATAATAATAATAGAAAAAAATCAAATTTTATTTGGCTCATTGCAAAAGCTCAAACACTTCACATAAATGTGACTGTGTAATTATTTTTAAGTTATAATCTGATATTTTACTATTGATTTAATTTTGTTTTTCTTCTTTTTTTGAAGTTTATTGAAATCTAATGTTCTTATTTTTATATATGTATTTGTTTGAAACATTTTTAAACCTTCTATTATTTTGAATATATTAAGATGATGATAAAAATTTGAGTTGAATTCAGAATGGAAACTTTCGTAAGCGTTTGTAATAAGACTTGAATTAGAACTAGCACTAGCCCAAATATACTAGGGGGAAAGTACTGGTATCTTCGATGTAATTAGTCACTAAATAATCATAAAATTTATTTATTTTATTATTTTCTGGTTTTTCAACCATGAAACTATCTATAAAACAATCTCCAACGTCTATTGAATTAAGAAATGGTAAACCAAGTATATGTACCAGCCACTTTCCTAATTCTTCAATAAAATGTGATTTTTTTTCTATTATTATTATTTATTTTATACATTTTTTTTCGTGTGGGAACTTACGTACGGGTGTAATTTTTTCCGTGTGAGAACTTACATATATACCCGCTTACCTGCTATGTTTCGTGTGGGAGCTTATTAAGCCCTGTGTTAAAACGATAATAACTAGGGTTAGGATGTTAATGACCTTTAATACTAAAAATACATGCAAATATGTCCAAACAATAGAATGCCTTCAAAACAATTAAATAATATTATATGGTATAATTATAGGCGTTAAAAATTGTATAATTAATTATTCTTTAAAATATATTATATACATAAGAGAATTTTTTAATAATGGACTTGTAATTCATAATTAAAAATAAATAATAATGTTTAATAATAAACTATTTTTATATCATACCTAAAAAATATGCATGATGAAAAAAAATCTAAAAATCATGAATATCGTCATTTTTAACCCTAGTAATAAATAATTATTAATGAATTTTACCACGCTAATATTATTTTTTCTTCAAACTAAGTATATGTTAAAACTATTAATAATGTATTTTGTATCTAATTATTTTCACAATAAAAGTAAAATATAACTCTAATTACATCATACAAAGTATGAGTTGTACATCTACATATTTACATATAAATGCAATCTTATTTAAATTAAATAATCCAATAAATTAGATGGACTTTAAAATTAAAATCAAATACAACAGTATTTAATAGTCATTTCAAATGTATTATTTAAATTGAAACAAAAGCATATATATTATTACTATATTGTTATTTTTAAACGTCAAGTATAACATAAAACATACTAACTGAATTTTATCTATATAAAAATAACTTATTGATAGTAGGTAATATAAAAAAAGTACTGTTATAATTTGTAATTAAATATATAAATAGATCGATCTGTAAAAAAAAATAGTTATCTATTCACACAAAGTAGTAGATATTTTAAATGTATTCAATAAATGATACATTTATTTGCAAACAATATAATGTATATTACATGGTTTATGTGGTGCATACCTACCACACTACAGACTTGATATAATATGTTTAGGTAGTTTAAATATTATGTGAGTAGAAATCAATTTCTAGGTACTTATTTAAAATATAATAAAATGTAAAATATTTTAATCAAGTTTCAAAATATACACCTTAAAGTTTATACTATCCAAATTAAAATGTGAAATTGGTATTTAAAATATTTTAATTTTAAAAACAATTGTGTTAATTGATATTTGTTCGACTCAGTAAATACCATATATTTAGGCCTACCCAGTAACTATATTAAATACATTTTTAAATATAAATAAATTATATTAAATCATCAACATCCGGTGTATAAAAATTATGTTGTATATTTCAATCTTACTTTGTGCGACTTTTATTTAAATAGGAAATAAAATATAGGATGTTGCATAAATTATACTTCCAGCCAATCTGTTCCTCAACGTCCGTTTCGATGTTTTTAACTCTCGGAAAGGTCCCACATACTTGTCAAAAGGGACAATTAAAGAACAATAGCTACGTAAAATAAATTTGCGTTCTAATAAATTAGTTTAGTGCCATTCATTAATGAACGATATCGTAGTAAGCACGTTACTTAGGATCTAAAAGGCTAACCCGAACTATCAGCATACAAAATTCTTAAAAATATATTATGGTACTATATAAACAAAATTAAACAAAGTTTTAAAAACTATTTTTTACCAAAAAATTTAGATTGCATCACTAGTAAATATGCCAAAGACTAAGTATCGATTGTGCGGAAAATTAATGTTTTCATTTATTGAAATTGATGACGAATCTAATACTTTTTTTTTATTTTGTGAAAATTATTGTTATTGTATATTATTAAAATATGCTCTCTATAGTTTATAGGTAATGTGATAACAAAAAAGCAAATTCTTTATACAACTAACAAACTAGTTATAATTCAAATTAATTTTCAAACGGTAAACTAGGAACTGTAGCAATCTGAGTTACATAATATTTTATTACTGACCTAAAAGCAAACCGCGTATTAGTCTAATCTTGTATTTTTCAAGTACCAGTAGATCTTTAAAAACCATCCATGGACTAGCAGGTACTATCTTATCTCAACTATACTTAACTACTGGTCGAAAACAAGCGAAAAAAACGCAACAACTAGTGCTGAGGGCTGCGACATCCACGACAACGGCTTGTGATGCTAAACAGCTTTTATTTTGAGATGCGTTTTTACAATTTAGGTATCTATTGGTTTTTTTTTTCTAAGTGATTTTATAGTAAGTATTAATTAATTAAGGATAAAATATGAAATTACATAAATATATTTATTTACTTTAATTTAAAATTGAAATATTTAAAATATCTTAAAATGAATGAATATGCACAAAAATGAGTAAATTAATTAGACGTTAAATTTGATCTCAAACTTGTGGTTATGAATTACCTATTATTATCATAGCCAAATTTAAATAAATATTTTAGAAAAACTACATAGTTATAAATAGGGTTAGGATATTTATGCACTAAAAAATGTATGAATATGTATGCACTTATGCACTAAAAATCAACTAAATATGCATGAACAATTTGAAAAATATGCATTAAAAAATAAAGAAATTTTTGGACAAAAAATGCAATAAACATTTATTATTATAGACAAATTGAAAAAAACTGAAAAAAATTAAATAAAATATAAAAAATTAAAAAGAGTTGCATTGAATAATTAAAGTTTGTTTTAAATGTTCCGCTGTAAATCTTCGTCTGTTTGGTGCTAATACGTTTTTGAATCTATTGAACAAAAAATCTCTATGTAAAAAATTGTATTTATTTAAATTATTATAATTTAATTTAGATTTATTATATATATACGTTCTGTTAAAATATCTGATAAAATTTTAATGACTCGCAGTTTTAAGATAAGTTTTGACTGTGACAATTGACGAAGCTTATCGAAAATTCTATTTAAGTAGGTACCTTTATATTATTTACTCCGAATAGGTAAAACCATAATATTGAATTCTCAACAATAAATAAGTGATAAATGATAATATGTGAAATACAGATAATCAAACTTATATAAGATTCAGTAAAATATAAAATTACAGTGTTTTTCAGCAATTTGCATCGAAAACCGTTAAATATGCGCTTAAAAACAGAAAAAAACACAAATTATGCACTTTTTAAAAAAAATGGTAAAATATGCACTTATATGCAAAATAAAATTATGATATTTTGAATATAAATATCATGAAACATATTTCTGTATAAGAATGGATGCTATTGGACAACCTAAAAAAAATATGCAAAATCATGAACATCCTAACCCTAGTTATAAATAAACAGAATTATCTATGGTCATTGATAATTTATTAACATATACTATAGTAAATTATTTAATTTTCTTTATTAGTAAACAGTCCTAAATGTATTAAAATAATTTATTATGATTCATAATAATAAAGGATTGTGGATCAATAAGTATATTAAAGTTTTTATTTAAGTTAAAAATTTGATTTATACTTTATCTAGTATCTCACATACATAATATTATCAATTATCGATAGTTACTACATTTTAAATGAAAATAAAAAATGATCAAATGCTAAAATATGCATAATGTTTCACTAGTATCAAAATAATACTACATAAATTAGTAGCAAAGCTATTAAAATATATAATATAAAACTAATTAGACTATATTTAACTAAGTATTCTAAGTATTTTATTATTGCTTATGTGCATACCTTTATGCTTTCGTGCTCAAAATTGAAAAAGTACTTAGTTTTTTTCCTTAACATTACATTTTTATAACCTTGAGCTAAACTTAGAAGAAAACTAGAAAAAAAATTTCAAATACTCAATTGAATCACAACTTTTACAAACCTTTTTTGTTATAAAAGTATTTACAATCTGTACACAAACATTATACAATAAATAAAATTAATAATAAGTGTATTAGACTTAAAAACGTAAGGGAAGAAAGCATCATAGATCATCAGAAGTTTTAATAGGTACATAAGGTATTCTTATTGAAATTTTAAATAAATATATGTATAATTATAATTAAATGATATAAAAAATAAAATTATAAAATTTATTATTTCTAATTTAAATACATTTACGGGCAACTATGAAAGTGGATAATAATACCTATTATTTATTAAATATAAATTTTTTTTTTATAATTTTTATTTAAAATATGCAATCTATAATTATAGTTACAATAATTGTACGAGAGAAAAAAAGGCATGAAAGCTTGGAAAGAGTAGCTACAGCATACATGATAAACAATTCTACGGAAACAATCTAACTCAATCATATTATTATCACAAAATATTTTATTATACATATTATACATAGCTATAACTTATTAGCAATTTATTTTACTATTAGTAATGCGATTGGTTAAATTAATTTTCGCTAAAAACATAAAATGCATATTAATTATTAATATTTAAGTCGTAATATTGACGTCCCTATCCTAAAACTTTGACCATATGTTCATGGTATAAATAACGTAAAATTTATCTTAATATTAATTATTAATATTCTAGTTTTTTAATAGAGTATAACAATTTCTTTTAATAAATACATTAAAAAAATTTAAAAATACAATATCTAGACCTTATTAGGTATTAAAATTTTAAATGGTATATATTTTTAACACGATTTTAACGAATTTGTCATTTGTCTACTAGATATATAGGTATTACTAATTATACTGGTTTTGTTGTATTCTCGTTAGTTTTTAAATTTACAAAAAATATATTCTAATTTGAATTCTTACATCACAAAACCAAAAACCACAGTGATTGAAGATCGAAGCATTTTTATTTATACGACAATTGGACGTAAGAACAAAAATAATATCAATATTGTAAAACCATTGTAAACAAATTAAAAGAAAAAAATGAAGAATGTTAAAACTAACATTTGTTACATTAAAATTAATAACTATTAATTGTTAAATAATGTACCAAATGTCAATTTATATTTAACTATTTATCAAATAAATAATAACTAATACTTTAATTTTTAGAAAATATTTGGCACCAAGCAAAAAATTTGTTTCGAAAACAATCGTTTAAGAAATTGTTAAAGAATTTATGAATTAATTTAGATTTACAACTTTGGTTTAATGCCAATAATATGTTTCAAGTAAATCCTTAATCTATTTTAATTGTATGAATTTTAAATCATAATATCGGTAAAGACATATATGGTGTGCCTGTAAGTAGTGTATAGGTAGCGTTATTTTATAGTTGCAACGTAAGTACCAATGGATCATATGAGTTATGACACATACTAACATTGCAATGTATGTTTATTAACAAGTTCATCCTTTTCCACATCATATGACTAATTTGGCTTTTGTTTTGTAATTTAAATTGATTTATAAGTCCTTCTCTTAAAATCAAAAAAATTTGGCAAGTGTGAATCTCAATGTCTATACTTCACACACCCATTTATCAAGCATAATATATTAATTAAACAAGTGTTAACCATGTCAAGTGGATCTAGAAAAAAAGACACTGATACATAGATGTACTATTGTATAATATTATCTAACCCCTAGCTTGCGGAATAATTCTAGTTCCGTATCACATAATATATACACTAAGTTATATCTGATTAATGTTTATATGTATATCTACTAACTAATATACACATCGTTTACACATCATTACTAGGCACCGAATTTAGGGTATTGAGAAATTTTCGAGAGCTCAAGGTGAGTTGACAATTGACATGGTAAACATCTGTGTTGCTTAAAATAGAACACTTATCAAAAATAGAAACCGCAAGAGAAAAAATATCGTGAATACCGAAGAGGTTTGACAGACTTAGTTTGTGTTTTGGCATGCACCATGGCACTTCAAGAGTCAGGTCATTCATTCGTCTCGGTTGAGTTTGAAGTATTTGGAAAAGTACAAGGTAAATTTTTTTCCCATACTTTTAATCAATTCACATAATAGTATAATACATAGGTAGATAACACATACCCTTACAAAAAATAGAAACATAAACATAGTTATAATATATATTCAAAAAAACAATCTGTTTTTAATTACTTTGGCTTGTTAAATGTTAACATTTAATTAAGACTTGTTATATACGATCAAACAAATAATGATAAATTAATTTAAAACTTTAATAGGTAAAATAATCTAGTAATAATTATCTCATGATTTATGAGTACGAAATAATATAAATATAATATTTTACTAATCACTGAATGTGTAATAACTTTATCATTAAAAAAGAACAGTTTGGTGTGGATAAATATTTTTAAATTGTATTAATAGGTCATATGATTTTATTAACAATGCACATGATGCAACTCGCAAAAAGAGTTATGCACTTGTTGTAACATAAATAAATAGATGATAACGTTAATAATATAACACACCTAAATTGTATAAGTTTAACAATTAATATTTCGTAATCTATATCATCAGCAAAACTACGTTGCGCACATTTTATTTAAATAATATTAATCCATATTAGGCCATCAATCACTAAAACTAAATACAAATTGAATGATTTGCTTAATCTATTTTCATTTGGCATATCTACTTAACTAAATATTATTTCAAGACCGACATCAGGGATCTTTTTCCTCACATACATATACTCCTCATTCATGATTTCGCAATCTCGTTTATAAATTATATTTTATATACACACTACTTATGCTATTTTAATTACACATGCATACGATAACTTAAGAGCAATAAGCATCTATTATCTTTTTATGGTGTTGTTATTTTTCGAAAACTATTATTTGGAAAAGAAAATTATAATACAATATTAGATAATAGTATTCCAAAATGTTCATAACACCCATCAATGGAAAATTAATAGGCACTGACTGATAGTAAGTACCTAAATACTTAAGAAAGCTACATTTTTAAAAATACAATATATTTAAAATAAATAAAAGAAAAGACTAAATTTTATAGGTATAATGTAACACTATTTAATATTAAAACATATTTTTATAAATATAAGTGCTCTCCTATGATGATATTTGAATGAAATTAATATAAAATATTCAATATTATATTGTAATTAAGTACCTACTGTAAAATATTAAAGAAAAAATATGAAATAAATATGCTAGGTACTTTGTATACTTACATAATTTAAAATGTAATTCCATTACTCATTATAATGGCTTATCAAATGCAATTATTATGTACAAACTATAATTGCTTCCATAGGCGCCGTCAGGAATTTTATCAGGGGGGTGCATCGTGACAGTAGGTATACACAAATTTCTAAATAATGCTCTTAATATATGTAATAATAATAATAATAATAATAATAATAGTAATTAGTAGTTAAATACGTAAAAATATTTTTATTAATTTGTATGACGATACAAAGTTATTTTAGTTTTTTTTTCAACGGTTACAATGCAACGCGGGCTAGTGACTACGAATAAAAAACCCGATAATGATAATAGTAGCCTTTAGCCTACACAACAATTCGTAAGCTTATCGCATGCAATAAAAGTGACCGATTTATATATTTAATATACACGTGACAACTGACATGTCTACATGTAGGTACTATACATTGCCACTATACGATAAAATCTGAATCATCATTAATCGTGTATCGTATGTTCGTGTATTTCCATTGTGCTAGTCACGTATTGAATCTTATATTTAATGATTTGAATAAGTAACGTTAGTAAAGTAAGAAATACAACCGAGATCATATTAGAAATAATTAGTTTTTTTAAAGAGAGCACATTGCGTAGAAAAATTATTCCCAATATTCCTTTACTTTGTGAAACTCGTTGGTCAGCAAAATATAAAAGTATTAGAATTTTTGCTGATAATTGTATTGTTAATTGTTATTGTCAAAGCTTTGGAAGAACTATCAAAAAGTACAGCAAATACAAAAACCAAAATTAAATCTTATCAACTTTCGACTACTGCTACTACACCGGTTTTTATTGTTACAGTAATAGCTGTTTGTTAATTCCGCTAAATTTGAACCAGTATGCAATCTACTTATATACTTCCAACAAATTAATATAAATTTAAAAACGGTGAACAATCTCATAACCAAACTAGTTGATATTTTGCAGTTGTATAGAAATAATTCTTCGACTAAATTTACCATGTCATTTGCAAAATATAAAAACATCGCTGAAGAACTTGAATGTTGAAATACATCCACCTCGAGTAGCTGCACGACAAATTTCAAAGATCAAATCATCCATCTACAAACCATGAAGATTTTTTCAAAATATCCATTTTCGTTACTTATCTAGATTCAGTTATATCTTCATTAAAAGATCGTTTTTCTAAAATTCACAATCAATCATTTTCTCTGACTCTGATGAATCTTCATCTCTATACTATGAAAAACATTAGTAAAGAACAGTTTATTTGCATATATCAAATGATATTGTAAAACTATATAGAAATATTTTGTCATTAAATTTTGTAACTGAAGCCACAACATAATATGAAATTTGGAAAAATAATACAAAACCATTAGATTCTATTAAATGCTTTAAATACTTAGATTTGGTTGAAATGTCAAGATTTTTATCCAGCTGTAGCCGACGCAATCAAGATCGGAGCAACTCTTCCAACAACCAACTTGCAGTTATTGAACATTCATTCAGTACTTTAAGACGAATCAAGACATAGAACAAAGCCACTATGGATGATGTCCGATTATTCGGATTGTGTATGATGAGAGAAAGAGACGAAGAGAATACCAAATTCATTAAAACTTCATTGAAAAATTTGGAAAAAACCTAGGCGTTTACAATTATTATTTAAAAATATGTATTATAATACATAATATAATTATTATATGGACCATTATGCAAAATAAGTATGATAATAAATAATAAAAATAATGTAGATAATTATGCAAAATAAAATAGTTTCAACACCATTCAATTTTTAAATTTAATTTAATTTTTAATTTCTTTTTTAAAAGCAAGGGGGGTGCACCCCCTTGCAGCGCCCATGAATTTGCTTCATAAGTATAACTATAAAATTTTAACCTAACTTTACATAACTACTTCACAGTGAGTTAAAAAATAAAACAATGTAACATTATATAATGCGCTTTTTTTGTGCCTTGGAAACTTACAAATTGTATAGAAAAAATGAATGTTTAAACAAAAATTATTTTTATTGGAATTTTATATAATTCTTCACAAAATATATTCACAACAACAAATTGAAAAAACAATATAATTATGTTTTACCTACTAAAATTAATTTAAAACTGACAATGAAAATGAGAAACTAGGGACTAGAATTAAGAACAATATATAGGAAAAAATAATTATTTATACCTACTTATTATATTCTTGAGGTTATAAATAAACTTTATAACTATAAACTTAATTAGGTAACTGAAAGTTTATGAAATATAAAAAAACAACAAGTATATTAGTTGGCACTTGATATTAGTGTTGCTTATATAAACTATTGCCAATTCTCGTTAGTATAAGAACACATTTTAAAATATTTTAACTCATTTGTTAAAAAAATCCAAATGATTTACATAGGGTAAAACCAATATTTTTCACTTCAATTCAAAATTTGAATACTTATTATTTAATTAATCTAATAAGAATAAAACAGAACATTTTCTACATAATAGAAAACTGCTAAAAGTATACATGCAATATTCTTTTTTTTAATTATATTTAGATATTCCTAATAAAGGATAGTTAATAATAATTCTAGAAATATATATTTATAACAATTTAATTACATATTCTCCTGAGTTACTTATAAATAGTAATATACTAAGTTTTTATAAGTATGTTTATAATTTCATGTATAACATTTAGGTGTTTACTTCACCAAATATTGCAGAGACCGAAGCACAGAACTTGATATTGTCGGATGGGTAAAGAACAGTAAAAGAGGAACTATAATGGGCAAAATGCAAGGGCCAAAATCAAATGTTGAAGTAATGTAAGTTACACTTTCATGACTCTGTATAATACAATTAAAATATTTAATACTTTGAAGTATGCAATATGCATATTAACACTGACATACATAATACACATACAGGACATTACCTACAATATTTTTTTTTTATATAATTAAAATGATTTAATAAAGATCAATTGAAACACAAACATTTTACTTTTATATTGTTATTTTGTTTTGATGTCTAATTTAGAAAAAAATTTAACACTAAAAAAATAAAAACATGATCTTACAAATAAATTCTTCCGTTACATTCTAGTAGAAGTTTTTATAAGTTATCTTGTATTATACTTTCAAGGCACCAAAAGTCCACCAATTTTAACTACACATTTTCATCGTTTTAACAAAAATACTGGATTTTTTTACTCTTGACTTCCTTAATATCGACTGCCCAGCTAAATACAGTTATTAAAAAAAAGTATCCTCAAAGTTGAAGCATATTTATTTATTTTTTTTTTTTTGCTTTTAAAGAGGGTATGACAAACAAAAAAAATTAATAAAATTTACCCTCCACTCAGAATTTTAAATTTAAAAATATAAAATTCTATAAATTGCTTAAAATTTATCTAAATATTATGAATATTTTATTATGTATATAAAAACAGATATTTTAAATAATAACTACTCTAATTAATATTCAAAAAGAATTTTTTAATTTTTATGAATATATAAACTATATAAATGTATTTTTGACATTTTTTAACTAATATAAGAATAAGTTATGAGAAGCCTAGAATATAAATTTATAATCTTTTCAAAAATTTTATCTTGCATTGATCTAAATAAATTATAATAAATAGCACAAAAAACAAAAATTGTTTTCAAATAGTATATTTTCTTATAAATGGTAACATAAATAGGTACTAAAAATTTAGAGTTTAGGATTATCTATTTATTTGTTACAAAAAATAAGAAAATTAATTTTTCAATTACTAGTGAATATTTTCATCTTTCAATAATTTATTTTATTTTTCCTAAATAATTTAGGAATAATAATTATTATTATTCCTAAATTAAAAGGAATTATTAAAAGCACTAGTCATTTTTTTTTTTACTTTTTCCCATCAAAGTATCAAATAGATTTAACTTGTTACCACCAGAAACTATTCTGCAAAATATATAGATCTAATTTTTAGTGTACTAAAAGATATGACACACACAAAAAAAAGTAGTAGTAATAATATTTATAACATACTGTTAGATATTTTTCCTCAGCAAGAAAATTTGAAAAACAATAGTTATGTTTTTGGTAAGTAACCATAAACATTATGAATTCTTAGCCATAAGTAGATTTTAAATCAGTGTCTATAGTAACAAATTTCAATAAATATCATTAATAGCATAAATAATGTAAAAAGAAAAAAGTTGTACTCATTCTAAAAACATATCTATGAACTATGATGAAAATAAATAAATCATTATAAAACCAATAAATTGACTGCTCCACTTAAAATATAAGCTCTTTTTTATAAACCAATTTATCAACAGCATTAAATAAATTATATGATAAAAAAAATTTGTATTATAATTAAAAAATAACTGCTTTTATTTTTCTGATAATTTCTAGATTTCAGATAACATAATTAATAAAAAAATGTAAAAATCAATGATTTCAAACTTACTAAACACTAAACACTAAATTCCAGACTCAATACATGTTTTCAACAACTTTTTCGTTTTTTTTTTTTTGTAATGGTGTTTTAAACATTGAATTTATTTTTACTATACTTATTATATTCTTAAAATTATGATATTATAGTTTTTAATGCATTTCAATTATAAAATTGTAGCTAAAGAAACATAAAATTGAGTTTTCTTTTTCCTGGCTACATTAAACAATCTTGCTACTTGTGTGTAAAATATGAGTGTTTTATTATAAATTTGAAATGTATTTATTATTCAAATTATGCAATATATTATACTAAATATCATGGTATCAACTCTGGTATTGATACTAATAAGTAATAATGACTTTAATAGGAGAAAATCATAATATCAAACTATTATTTCTAAGAAAACCCATTTTTTAGGCAGAAGTTATACATACTCTTAAAAATAATATAAAAACTTCAAATATTATTTAAATAAACATCCCAATATTAAATCAGTAAGCTTATACCATTTATACATAAATAGAAAGTATACACACAATATAATTAATTGTTACAGGATCGCATGGTTATCCAATGAAGGAAGTCCAGGAAGTAAAATTGAGCGTTGTGATCTGATGAACTTCGAATATTTGGCAAGGAAAGAGTTCAATGGATTTAGCATAAGATTTTAAACATCTTTAAGAAATAATATTTTATTTATGCAGATATTATAAGGGAAAATATAAAAACCCTAAAATATTGATATAAAAAAAAAAAAAGACATGCAAATATTATTAAAATTTTTATACACGATATATTATTTTTTTAAATCGATGCTAGCTCGAAGGGCAAATATATGATACATAATATTTTATAAATATATAAATTAAATGACTTATATATTATAATGTATTAGAAAAATGATTAAAGTAAATTATTGGTAGAACAAACTATTTAAATAATATATAATAAGAATTGTAAATACACATCTTAAACTCTATAAATTTTGTGATTAAAAAAAATTTACAAATTTTTAATTTTTCTATTTTATTCTATTTTATTATACTATATTCATACACACTATATAAGTAATTCTAAGCAGCCGTTTTTTTAGAATTATGTTCTATAAACTTGTATTTAAAGTAAACGAACATGAAGAAAACAGACAGTTAAATGATATATAATATAAATATATATATATTATATATATTTATATACATAAAAAAAAAAGATTTTTAAATTATAAAGTTTATTAATGGCAAAACAAAATTTACTATACAATATTTGTTTTCAAATAGTCTCAATAAATTTTTTTTTACATATGTTTGGAAGGTGACCCAGAATCGCTGTTTAAATCTGCGTAAAAAAAATAAAAAAAAAATGTATACATTTTAAAATAGGTTTCATAAAAGGATTTAGTGTGAAAATATAAATTCAAATATTCTTTGAAAATAAACAATATCCTTTTTAAGATCTATTTAGTTTATATTAATGAAGAAAACTAATATAATTCACAATATTTTCCACCATGTAAAAACTATGAAATGTGTTCATGTTAAATGTTTACTTTAATCTATTAAACAAGAACATTATATTACCTTAAATATAATAAATTATTATTAACAAATACAAGTAAATAAATAAATTTTCATTAAGAAAATATTTACCAATAATAATGAATTTTCAGATATGATATTATTATATAATGATTAATGATTAATCTATAGTTAATAATTAATAGTTGATAATCACAATATATTTAGTAAAATAACATTATATATAAGTTTTTATCAGTAGGTAATTAATAACTAAATACTTATTATTATGTCACATACAAAATATTGTGTACTATGGCTGTTAACTATAAAAATAGTTTATTTATAATTTATATTACAGTAAATTAAATGTTTAAGTATAATAATACAGTGAATTCTGTTTTTATCATGGTTTTTAAGAATAAATATGAATATTGAATATATCATGAATTGAATTAAAAGAATATTTCTAAGTAATAAATATGTATTGCTATACCAGCAGTTTTATTTGAGTAACACAGACAATGCATCTACTAAATCCTAACTTTTAAAAAAGCTCTCAGACTGGATAAATTGGATTGAATAAACAAATATAAACTTTAATTAATACTTTAAGGCCTAAATAGACAAGCACAATTTACCAGCAAGTCTATTCATAAAAATGTATATTCTAATGCTGTCTTTTTAGGATATTATATTCTCACAAATTTTAAGATATGTAGTATATTATAACAAATAGCTTGTGATTTTAATAAATGTATAGGTTCCATGATAAGTAAATAATATATTTTTAATAGAAACTGTTTTAATTAAATTAGTTCATGTTACAATTAAAAAGTCTGTAAGTATCAAGGGCCTAATGTTACATTAATAACTGCAAAACATAAAATAGAAACTATATCACAAATGGCTTTATGCATAGATACCAATTTAACACATCAGTATTTAGCCAATAACTCAGTAACTTGGTACTGTATAGTAAACAAAATTTTCAATTATTCTATTAATATTTAGAATACTAAGATTGTATCAATAAATATAAATAGTAATATTAAATAATTTAAATGATTTAATAAATTAAAACTTTAATTTCATGTTAATGAACAATTTTAAATTAATATTTAAATTTAAAATTGATCAATAAAATATGAATTTTAAATTAAAATGCGTGATTTATATTCAATCCATTACATAAATAAAAAATATTATTTCTTTATTTGGTTAATATATTTAATTTAAAATATTTATATATTATCAAATAAATGAATAAAATACAAAATAAGAAAGTTTAAACACAGTACAGAACATAAAGTACAGTGTAATTTTTTTAATATAAAACTGCAAATATTTTTAAAACTTAAATTAATTTTTTATTGTTTTTTTTTAGTAATAATTATGGATTCATTTAAAAATGTACTAATAACAGATTAAGTTGTTAATATATATATATATATATATATATTTTTATGACATTATTCTTTATTTTATAAAAAAAAATAATTCATAAATATTAATTTAATAAAAAAATTTTTAAATTTGATTATTGTTAAAAGTTATGTAACCCACCTTACAAATTGACAACATTGTAAATTTAAATTTGACAGAAACAATTTTGTTATTAATCTTCATAAATATTAAAATAAGTTAATACCTATAATTTTAATTAAAGTTGAGAACATTATCAGTGTTTGGTTTATTACAATTAGGGATGAACCATAAAATTATAAATGTTCACTTATAGTAAAATCACAAGCTGATACCATATCTATAAAATTGTATGATTACTAAAAAATATTCCAAAAAAATGTAAATATTCATAAATATTGTTTGGTCAATGATAAACTAATCACCCTGTATATATCATTGACTAATTTAATAATTAATATTAACAAATTATTAAACACTAATTTTAATAACTCATTATATTTAATTACGAAGTAAATCATCAATATAAAACTTACCACTTTTGTTAGATTTTTGTTTACGGTATTTAGCAGCAGGACCCCAAATACGAACAGTACAATCATCCGAAACAGATGCAAGCATTTGATGATAAACAGGATTCCAACTAACACACGTAACTGCTCTTGTATGACCAATTAATGTTGTGATTGGTAGTTCATGCTTAATGTGCCACAAATATACTTTGTTATCTACAACAAAATAATATTTTTATCATATACAAATGATATTTTTAAGGGACAAACCTTCACTCCCACTAGCAATAAAATCATGATTAACACCACCAAAACAACTATGTATTGAAAAATGGCCCTGTGTAACTCCTTGAAATTTTCTTACTAAACACTTATCTTGGAGATCCCATAAATGAACACCTTGTGATACAACATTTAAGAGTGCAAGACGATCAGTTTTGTTAACTGTGAATGACATTATAGGATGATCTTCTTGTATTCTATTTAAGCATAAACCATAATTAGACCAACAAATTGAATATTTTTTTTTTCTTTACTTACAAATTTTGATCACTTAGCTCATCAAAATTATATGAACGAATTCGATGACGCGTGTCTGCTGCCAACACAGTTTTTCCATCAGATCGACACCAAAGACAATTTACACGAACACCTTCCCAAGAATCTAATACAGAACCTTCTAAATCCTACAATTTATTTATAATTTAATTCAAATTATTATGAAAGCACTATACAATTTTACATTAATTATTTATTTATTTATTTACACATTGATAAAATTGTCCTCGGATTCCCCCACATACAAATTTTTGGCCATCTTTATGCCAAGAACAGGCAGTTAATGAGTCGTCTGATGAATGTGAGAGTTTTAACCTCAAAACACCAGTACTAACATTCCACACCCATAAGTCAGGACAGTCTTCTGGCCCACAAGCCATGAGAAGCTCGCCATCTGGAGACCATGAAAGGTAACTAACTCCATATGAATGGCCATCTAAAGTGATTGATTGTTCTACAGTCAATGTTTCCTATAACAAATAATATTGTGATGATATAAGAAATAAGAAATAATTTTTTAAACATACTGGATCAACGTCATATATTATAATAGATGCATCTTTTGAGCCAGTTGCTAATTTTTTTCCATTAGGTGAAAACCGACAAAACCATACTTCATCACAATGTTCAGTTAATATTTGGACGGTTTCACATGGAATTTGTTCTCTGCAATAAGAATTATTTCTTTTTTTATACAAATACTTCATTGTAAAATTATTTTAAAACACAAATTACTTACAATGAACACTTATGGTCAGTAAGTAAGGAAACAGTTTCAATGGAATCATCAAATGTTGTATTATGGAATAAACATTGATTTCTTTGCAGTTCTACTGCCTGAGTCAGTAACATATGTAACCTACAATAAGCATAAAATTATTTAACAATAATTTTAAAAAAATCAGTAACAATATATAGTTATTAATTTTTACATTTATACCTAATTAATTTATTTTTGATTATTAAACTAACCTGAAGCATATAAATGTTTAAAACACAAAAACCATTATAACATTATATGAGGTCCCCCTCTGTCACCGCTCTAAAAAGTTTTGTTTTTGTAAACATTTTAAGTTCAAGTTTGGATAAAATTACTTACACATTTAAGCTATGAAGAACAGTTAACAATATTCATTATTTTGATATACTTTAAAAATTATTCATGGAAACATAAACCTTTTATGTATATTATTATATTTTATACACACAATATTTTCAAATACTACGCAATGTAGTCGGCAAAAATTATTTTAACCTACTGTATACTAATGATTAAATGAATTACTTTACCTAACAGAAAACATAATATTTATTAATTATTATACTTAGTAATATAGGCTGAGAGACCATCTCCACTCAGAATCGCTTTTCATATACAGCAATTTATCATTAAATTCAAAATTAACACATCCTTTATGATGACCTACTCGACACCCATTTCCCTGCCTTTTTTTTTTTAATACCCACATTATAAAAAAAAACCTATACATGCCTAATAAAAAAATAAAAATAAAATAGAACATATTGTATATTATAAGATATACAAACAAGTACACAATTAATAATAAAATCATACAATATATTATTTCAAGTATATTTACAATAATTTACCTTTTGGGTGGTAGCATAATATGCGGGGGTAAAAATTGTTGAATCATATCCATGAGTAGAGTCCTAGATTTATGCCCTTTTCCCTCCCAATTTGCTCGTTTCATTAATTCATCTCGTCCACTGCACAT